TATCAAAAATTGTTAACATTTGTTTAATTAAAATGTAAATTGGTATATAAATGTTATTGGAAGATGTATGGGATTCAATACGCAGCGCGCGCCTGTTATGTACTAGTAAATAATAAAATAATGCATGTAAAAATGAATACTAACTTGTAGTTGAATTTGCATTGTTTGAACAGCAGAAACACTCTCCCTTCCTTCGGAAAGAAACTTCAATTTCTCCGTTATGATTTGAGACAAGTCATTCATCTCCTCGCTGACCTTTTCTTCGACAACATTCGACACTGTCTTGTGCTCTACAGATACTTCGGAGTCGCACGATTCGTCCTTCAAACTGAGCTTTTCTTCAGTTTTAATACTAACGCACTGTTCTGCTTCCTTATGCGCTTCATCGCATTCCTTTTGGCTTTCGGTACACAATTGATTATGTACAACTGCGTCGCTATCCTCGGTATTGCGTGAAATAGTTTCACTGCTCGTAAGATCACTGCCGTTATCCTCTCGGATTGTATTTTCGTGATATGTATTATTACTTTGTTTAGCTTTAGTGGAAGTAACTGAAATTGCAGAGAAAATTATTTGTTTACATAGATAATTTTCAGAATAAATAAAATACTTGATAATTTTAAACATAATTTTCGTTACTATATATAATTATTGGAATAAAATTAGATAAAAACATAATCGATTTAATTGATACCATCAAATGCTATCCTCTTCTTTCTTTGAAAAGCCTTGCCGCACACTTGCATATCTTCCAAAAATATATTTGCCTTGGACTTATCTTCGTCTACCTTCGATTCTTTCTCCTCCGTCTTTTCCTGATCATTCTTCGCTTCTTGAGTATCTTCATTACTGTGATCACTACACTGATCGGAGGCTTGTACATTATCAGAATTTTTCGCAAGAGCGTCATGAGTATTTTTCAACGAGTTCGTTACATTTACGTATTCCTCATTCTGCACAATTGGGAATAAAGGCTTTATCTCTTGCTTGGGTCTAACTTCCTCTTCTCCATCTGAATCATCTCCGTAACCAGGTACTAAGGACACATTGAGATCCAATTTCGGAACTGTGCTGTGTGAATTAATATCTTTCTTATTTTTGTTCCCCATGAGAAACTCTTTTTCACCTTGAACTACACTACTCTTGCTCTTGTCGGATTCGGTTATTTTGTGTTCGTCAAGTTGTTCAGGATGATTTGTAGAATTTGATACATCAGTCGAGTCAGACTTGTATGACGGAAATAAGTTTTTGGTAGGAGATTGTATTCCCGTTGGACAGAAGGCAGGTCCGATTTCGCCACTTTTTACATACGGCACAGAATTGGATTTTCCAGGCTCGGATAAAGACGTCGATGTTTTATTCTCGTCTGAGGAATTATTTTCATCCTCCGAATCACTTCCGTCGCTACCGAAAGACGTTATCATCTCTATCCGTCTATAAAATTGAAATTGAATATTTTTTAATCGTGTCAAGACAGAATAAGAAGTATTTAAAATATAATTTTTACTATACCCATCGTCCGAATCGTCATCCTTCGTCGGAGACTCGTTCTTCATTTCTGGTTTGCTTTCCAAATTATATTTCTTGGTAGGTTCATTATTGTGCAGAAATCTGTTGCGATTTCTTGCTACCACTTCCTGCGGTATCATACCCTCTGGAATATTTGCTTGGGATTGTCGATCTGCAACAAAAATATTCGTTAATATCTTTTCTTTTTTGAAATATTGAAAGTAGAAAAGTTTAATAACAATTACATGCGATAGACGAAAAATCGACCCAATGTGGTCCTTGAATGGGATGTTTTGCTCCGGACCCTGCTTCCGATTGTTTTTGTAACAAGCGTAATTCCTCTGGCATTTCCCATGTTACCTCATTAGTTTCGATATGCCAATAATAAGGGTAACCAGTGGAATCGTCATAAATTTCATGCCACACTGAAATGCAGATATGTAAGTGTGTTTCACATTATTTATTTTATATATATTTTTTTTCTTTTTATTAATTCGAAATCCTTACATGTTTGTTGGCTTGTATGATGCGCAGATCGTAGAACTGCCTTAGTCGCTGAATCTGAATCATTAGCAATGTTTGGTACAGGTTGCTCGGGGGCAATGAGTTGAATTTCCTATAAAAAAAAAACCATACATAAATATAATTTCTCTATATAGAAAATATTATCAGGTTACCTTAAGGAAATCATTGACTTGGTCATCCAATTTCTGTGTATCTTTCTTGGGATCTTCCGTATCGCTATCGGAATTGTATTGGCACAACATATTGGCCAACGGATTATTGGCCTCGCTCTGTGTGGGTTGTACATTATTTATCGGCTTACACCGGCCTGTAAAAATTTGTAATACAAGATAAACAAGTGACAGCATATTATGCGTTAATTCTCAATGAACGTTTTGCTGAGCTTTAATTTTAGTAAAGTATTTTTGTGAGGTGAAGCGACTGTGAAAGAAATAAAAATTGTCAATGGTCAATCAGTTCGCCAACTAAAAACAAACACTGATATTCACCTTGCGTGTGCTCGCCGTGATGACTGCCTTGCTTGTTGAGCGTCAGGACTGGCCTTCTTTGGCGTCTCTTCATAATACGTAAAGTAATGACAGTGAAGGCTAAACTAAACGCGACGAAGGATCTTCTGCGAGAAGTTTACAGCGCAAAATGCGCGCTTGATCAGCCTCGGTCCTCGCTCGTACACGTCACCGCGTAACGGCATACACGTACGCATATCATTTGTGTGAAATAATTAATGACTATGCGTTTCCACGTATCGCGACGAAATAATTATCCCGCGAAATTGCAAAAATAATCGTATTGCTTCCGTGAGCTAACCTCAAACATTCGAACTGTATCTTAGAAGCGACGAAAGTCCGCGATCAGTTCACAGCTTTCGGATGTAGAGACCAGAGGGCAGGGCGCAGCGCCTTACCGACCTCCGATTACTCATTGCTAAATGACAGCTGACTGACAAGTGACAACAGTGACAATACTTGGGTATGAGTTAGGAATCTCTACAAAATTAACAATAAATCAACGCACTCCTGTTTAACTTTGATTCTAAATATATTAAAATAGATAACGTGCTATTTCTGAAAAGGCACAATATGCTGAACGATATGCCAAAAAGATTACTGAGAAGTTCCGAGAGCACAGAGGTAAGATACTCGCAAGATATTTAGTTGTCAACAATAAGTATTGAATTAATCATTTAAATGTTCAACGTTATATTCTTAGGTCGATGTACGCGAGGATGAAGAACAAACCACGAAATTTCAAGAAATTATCGATTTACTTGTCGCTGCAGGTTACTTTCGGGCGCGAATAAAAGGTTTAACAAATTTTGATAAGGTCTGTAAATTATTTTCAATTATTTTTTTTTATTAAACTTATATGTAACTTAAAAAATAATATATATTTGATTAGGTTGTCGGCGGCATGACCTGGTGCATAGAATCGTGTAATTTCGACGTAGACGTGGATTTACTTTTTCAAGAGAATCTCACAATTGGTCAAAAAATGTATGTATTTTACATCACATTGAATTTGTAGATTTTAGATTTGTAGACTGAAAATGTAGATTTTATTCAGCTTATTAACCCACTAACAATCTAACCGGAACATAGGTTAGAAAACCTACAGTAGCAGTCATAATGATCGATGTTCCGGTTAGAGGGTTAATTTCTTTTTATGCATAAGACGTTTTTATTCTTTTTTGTTGTCTTTTTATTCAGAAAATCTTTTTAACAGTAACTTTAATGTTTAACATACATGTATGTGTTGCAGTTCCTTGACAGAGAAAATTGTAGTTATGCTCCCCAAAATGAACTGTCCGTACCGAATAGAACCGCATCAAATACAAGGTCTAGACTGTATTCATATATTCCCAGTTATTCAGTGGCTAGTAAAGCGTTCTATGGAAATGCGACAGGAAATGGCAGACTTTGTGAGGGCATTTGCGTTAAATCAATTTCACAAAAAGCATTCTTTCAGTGAAGATTCTGAAAGCGGGGCAACAGCTAATGAGAATATCATCAGAAATTTACGTTCAGTTAAGGTACAAATTATTTTTTATGTGAAACCGTTTAATTATAAAAACGCCGCAAATGTGTAATTGATATGCTTTATATTTCTTTAATGTATATGACAGAAAGCTTATGAACCACGACGTTTGTTCAAACAAAAAGAGGATTTTGTGAAAGATGAATCGAGTAGATTTATTGGCACGGTATTAGAATATGAAGCACCATTTGAGGCTGTTAAAAATACAACAATGACAGCGGCTGAATCTAAAAGCAGTGATTCAAGGAATGAGTCAAGTAATGAAAAAAATGAAAAGGTATTACTTACGAATAAATCACTTTTAATTTATTCATTTGATAATTTTTATTGAATTAATACAGAAGTGCATGAAATTTATATTTTTTAGGACACCACTGAACAAATTACTGCTGCTCTATCCGTCATAGAAGAAAATTCGGTATATAAATTTTTTAAAATTTTACAGACTAAGAGAAAGGAGAGTTTCAAGACTTTTAAATAACAATTTTTTTATAAGTGCAAAATTTGTATATCTACTTTTTTTATATCATTTTTTAGAAAAAAATTTTGTTTAAAATTTACGTAAAAAGTATCATTTTTTAAATCTGGTCATATTTGAAATCCTTTTCTCTTAAAAAGATTATTATATTTTTATAATATTATCATTAATCTTTTGTTTCTTTAATACAGATGCGCTTAAGTGTAAATACACTTGGAAACATCGTTGGTATACAAGCACAAGAAATTGCTAAGGTGGCAGAAAAATATGCAACTATGGCTACTTCTGAAATAGGGGTAAATTTAAATATAGAGTATATTTTTATAATTGAAGCATATATAACATTGTATAATATAAATTTTATTAATATAGGATGGTGACGCAACGGATTCGTCGCGCGCTCTAATTGCATTACAGAAACAGAAGACAACATTGCAGTCCAGAGTGCGCAAGTTAACGAAGGAGAGAGATAGCTTATCTGATAAACTTACTGAAATAGTAGAAAAAGTGAAAGAATATCGTGCGAGAAAAGAAACCATTGAACGTTCGTTTAAAAAGATTCGGGAAATTGGAATCAATGATAATGACAGGTATTTTGAAGTATTAGAGTTATGGCTAATTATAACTAATGTATATTAGCTTCGATATCAATTTTTTCTTTTTTTTTTTTGTTTAAATATGAAATGAGAATTTCTATTCAACTTTCAGTATTTTCAAACGATTAGAGGAACTTCTGTCCGTACATGAGGGACTGAAAGAACAAGAACATAATTTCCGAGAACAGTGCAAGTCAGATTTGAATCTTCTTCGAGGTATGGTACAAGAAATTGAAAACGGTGCTCCGGTGGAGGAGGAAGATCGTGTCAAAGAATACGAAGAGCAAAAGGAAGCTATAACACGAGTGCGATTGCAATTGGCGAAAAAGAATAGAATTATTGCATCTTTAACGAGGCAACTGGACGATGTTCCAGGACGCTCCGAATTGACGCAGTATCAACGACGTTTTATGGAACTCTATAATCAAGGTTAACTGGATTCATTTTTATTCACAGACATAACAATCTTGCAATTTAAAAGTATCAAGTTATCTTTATTAAAGATATTTTAAGAGAAATTTAGATTAAGGATGTATATTACAGTTTCAGCTAAGCATAAGGAAACTAAACAATATTACACATTATACAATACTCTCGATGATACAAAACTATATATAAGTAAGGAATTGTCATTGCTAAATTCTATTCAGGATAACTACAATGAGTACGTACTAAAAATATTAATTATTTCAAAAAATTTTAAGTATCCATGCTGTTAATAATATACGTAATTTAATATGTATTTTATAACAGAGCTATGGCGTCAACAAGTGGCAAGGAACAATTCCTAAAACAATTTGAGACCATTGTTGCAGGAGTGAAGCGCAACAAAACAATGGTAATGTGGAAAATAGTGATATAGAAACGAATCAATTTAGGAGCATGTAGTATTTACAAAAAAAGACAAACATATCTAACTTGAAATAACAGTGTCTCTATTTTATTTTATTGCTATTATTATTTTGTACTTTCAATGATGAGTTAGACTAATTTAAACATTGATTTTTTATTTAGGTGGAAAAACGATGTGCCGACGAAAAAGGTAGGCGTGATACACTTAGTCGACAACTCGTCACTCTCGTGGAGCAACAACGCAAATATGTTGCAGCAGTTAGACAGCTTACTATTGAATGTCGCAAAAATGAAGCTTTGTTGGCTCAACTTCGTGGTCCATAAATTTCCCTCAGTAAATGGAAATTATGTCAATATTTACTTGTGACATGATGCTATTATAATACACTATTTAAAGCTGTTTAAATTTTGCTATATACGCAATGAATATACGATGTAAGTTATACAAGCTATGTATGTCAAAAATTTGCTATGTATATAGAAACATGACAGTTCATGAATCTCTCAATACTGTATGTGTTATATAGCTTGTAAAAATATTTGATACACAATATGTACTTCTAACACACACATACGTACATATGTGTGTATATATAATGTATATTATATATATGTATAGTAAATATGATGAACATGTTAAATATAATTGTACATAAATTGTTACAATATATACAACGTTATAAGATACATATATTTGTGTAATATAGAAAATTAATTAGTCCCTTATTTTAATATTGTATTATTAACCAGTATTTTCTTCGTTCAAAAAACAAGATCTATTATTTTTTTTTTTAATTCTATTGATTTTCTCTGACATGTTCCTCCATAAGTCTGTCGGTCACGTGGTATCTGTCATTATAGTGTCATTCCCGCGCTCAATGGTACTCCATCTATCGATGAATCAATTCATTAACGTGAATGAACGTAAACACTTTGATTGCACTTACAACAGGAATTTATTTTATAGAATTGTATGAAACATTAATGATCATTTTATAAAGAGATATATATATATTATGGCTGATAAAATGAACATGAAGGAGTTTTGCCAAAAGTTACCTAAAGTGGTATGTTTTTATGTCAAATCTAAAAGTGTTGCTTATTGTGAAAAATAAATACTTTTATATTTCATAATTTTATTATATATTTTAACGTACTAAACAATTCTTTCTTCGATATATTAGGAACTTCATGCACATTTGAACGGTTCATTAAGTGTGAATACGTTACAAAAATTACGTGAAATGCAATGCTCAAACACTGCTTGTGATCAAGTTCTTGTGGATACTACCAATTTCTCATCTTTAAGCGAGTACATAGATATTCTTTTTCGTATTTTTCTATGAAGCACCATTGAGAAAACGTTCATTAAAGGCTGTACCATATAATTATTCACTTTTCAGATGTTTTAAAATGTTTGATGTAGCTCATGCACTGACAATTACACCACAAGCTGTGTTTGTTGCCACTTGTGATGTGATAAAAGAGTTTTACGAGGACAATGTGATTTACTTAGAATTAAGAAGCACACCTCGTGCTGTAAAAGATTCAATGACAAAAACAGAGTACCTTCAGGCTATAATAGATGCTATCGAGTAAGTAATAACTGCTTGATGACTGTATATTAACTTGTATAGCAGATTCTAGTTTAAATATATATGCCACATTTTTTTATTGTTCCTTGAAGCAATTAGTAAATGATATCTAATATATGTATACAGATCATCCAAATCTGAGTTTCCACAAATTCTTGTAAAACTGCTAGTATCAATTGATCGAAAACAAGGTTACGAATCTGCACAAGAAAATATAAATCTTGCTATACAGTTTATGAAGAAATATCCAGGATATGTTGTGGGTATTGATCTTAGTGGCGATCCTACAGCGGGTGATTCATTTTTAGAGTTATTAGAAACATCTAGGAAAGCAGGCCTTAGAATTACAGCTCATTGTGCAGAGGTGAATTACCTTTCCAAATATGATCAATTATCTCTACATATAATAATATAATAGATATAATAGTATAATATAAATGCAGGTACCTAATGAAGTGGAAACAAATAATATAATAAAATTTAAACCTGACCGATTGGGACATTGTACTTGCATTCATCCTAGTTTGCAAGGTTCTCAGCAATTGTTTGATACGTTATTGGAATCTAAAATTCCTGTTGGTAAAAGATCTTTGATAATTCCTTTCCAAAGATAAATTTTGATAAATATTAATAATAACGTGTATTACTTTACTTCTGTTCTTTTAATCTAGAATTGTGCTTGACATCAAACATTAAATGTAAAACAGTATCGGCTTATATTTCTCATCAATTTACATATCTATACAAAACTGGACATCCTATAACCATTGGAGTGAGTATTAAAAATATAATGTATATATTACTGAAAATTTAATAAAAAATGAAATTTTAACTTTTTTCAGACTGACGATAAAGGTGTTTTTAATACGTGCTTATCAGAGGAATTCGAGAGATTAAGTTCTATTTTTTTAATAGGAAGAAAACAGCTGAAGGAGCTATCTCTCTTGTCTGTACAATATAGTTTTGCAAGTGCAGAAGAAAAGAAAAGTTTAACAGCTGTTATTGAAAATTTTGAATAACATATACATTTCTCTCATAAGTATTGTGTGCCAACATTTTTATAACGAGTTTTAATTTATATCCTAGAATAATATTCACTTTCAAACTTATTAATTATTAATAAGAATAAAAAGAATATATTTTTTCTATATCTCATTAACTCAACAATATTTGCTGATAATTTTTTAGTGTAATATTTCGTATATTTTTTATATATTCTTTGAAATCGCCCATTATCTTGTAATATATGAGCAAAAGTGATACGTAATGTACGTTTGTATATCACTGTATAAATCAAAGAATAAAACTCACATATTATAATTTATACTAATTTAATTTATGACATTGAGATTTAAATATATGATGTATGATAATTGAACAATTTCAAAAGTCATTCCGTTTTTTTAAGTCAGCATACAAAAATATATTCATTTACTCGTAGCTGACCTAGAAATTCATAAATTAAAAAGCAATATCTGTGTATCAAGAATTTATATATTATTTATTTAAACTATAATTAAATCGATTCATAATCTCGGAATGTTTCGTAATTAATGACATTATATTTCTATTATAATTATAATCTTTTCTATTAATTACAAATGTATCATTCTGCTTTTAATATCTATAATTCTACGTCTATCCCTACGCATTCCTATTATTAAATTTTTTGCTATTAGGATTACAATTCAAAAGTATCTATACTTTTTTATATAATTTTATTTTTGGTATGCTAGAAATATTTTACTCTAAAAATGATTAAAAAAAGATTAATTTGTGTCATTTTATACCTTGCCAAAATTTTTAATTTTTGCGTTAGGGCCGTTAGTTAGCACACGTTTGACCCTCTTGAATCTGGCTAGAGCGTTGCCAGGCTCACTCTGCAATCCACCGAAGGCCTCTTTGTACTCTTTCTCTAAACGTGGATTCAATTCCTGCGAACTTCCAGTAAGAGATAATAAAGAATCGGAGTGTTCTGCTGTAGGACTCTGTTCTTCCTCGTTATTCTCATCATCGCTGCCAACAAGTGAAGATGCTTTGAGCTGCAACAGTTATTACACATTTTATTTTTTATATTACATTTATATATTAATTTTAAGCAGTAGGTTATATAATTTATTTTAGTATATCATAATCTATAGCAATTTTTAATAATAATACATCGTGATAATTTTACTGCTTTCCACTAAGCCTTACCATTTTGTTCGGACGCAGATAAGAATTCAAATCGGGATTCATAAATAATTCATTTTCGGCTGTCCGATCAGATGGCAACGTGTAGCTTCTCAGTTGCCTCCTCCTTTTCTGACGTTGATCGTTATTCACCAGGAAAACTTGCCTGACGCGCTCGCGTTTTGTTTTGGAAAACTCTTTCAAAGGAATTTGCTCGGAAGACTTGTGATTAGCGACTACGATTCTATTCAAATTTTCATTCTCCTTTGAACTATCCAATTTATCGATTTTGCCAGATCGATGTTGCCGCTTTTTATGCTGATCTCTTTTTAAAGATCGTTTCTTGTCGTTTCTCTGTAAAGAAGCAATCGCATCATCGGCGCTCTCTCGTACGGATCTCTTGGCTCTTGGATCTGTGGTCTGGCGCTTCTTGATCGGTTCACCCTGGAAAATCTGCCTTTCCTCATCCTCGTTCTCTTGATTCTGCAATTCATCGAATCTGGCATTGTTGTCCTCGATGTCTCTTATTCGTTGTTGCGTCTCGATGTCTCGTTGAATCTCCTCTTTAATCGAATCGATTTTCCGTTGAATCTCCTCTTCCACGCGTTTCTCGTATTCCGCGTTCGATTCGTCTCTTTTGGACGAGGCAACTATGCTCGCTGGCTCTTGGATTTTGGAAGAATCGCTCAACTTCGAGATCACGTCCTTCGATTCGAAATCTTTGTCACTGGATGCTGGCGCTTCATTAATACTTTTCGACGATTCGATATGAGAAACGTCGCGCGAGTAAGGATTCTTTGCTGCAGTTTTCGATTCTTCTAACACGGCTGAATCATCTAGGCTTGACTTGGATTTATCAACCATTTCTGAAATTTCCGCTTGGTCTCTTTTCACTCGAGCATCTTTCGGCGTTTCTCCGTTTTCAGCTTCATTTGTTGACTCTTGCACTGCAGCCATATCCTCTATTCCCGGCGAGTCGTCTTCCACTTCCTCGTAATCCTTCGAGCCGCTTAGAACGCCGCGCTTCGCGACGTCTTTCGCCTCGTAGTCGTCGTACAAACTCGATCTCTCATCTTGATCGGTGTATCTATTGAAATCACCATTTACGCCACGGGGTAAACGTACGAGATTACTCGCTTCTTCGTTTTTATCACGTTCACGGTTTATCGCCTCTTCATCCTCTTCTTCCGTTCCCTCTGATCCCTCATTCGAGTGTTGCGAATTGGACGCATTGTCAAGATCGAAAGATTCTTCAGCGTTCGATGGATGGAGATCGGCGGAGATTACGGCATTTGCGGCTTTCCTCGAAATTTTCCGTTCCTTTTTCGTGTCGTCCTGATGCATACCATCCTTTTCGAGGTCATCATTGTCGCTTTCCTCTTCATGTTCTAAATTTATCTCTTTCGCATGGTTAGCGTCTCCTTCTAATTGTGATGTTTCAGCAATAGATAACTCTCGTTTTGTTCTGGAAGCGGTGTAAAAAATATAAAAATATATTTTACGTGCAGGGACTAATGCGGAACAAGTAGAAAATGTAAAATTTCATTGAATCAACAAGAAATTACGCCAAAGAATTGTACATAGATAATGCAGAGGCTAAGAAAATCACATACTGTCAATACCTGCGAGTATCGCTGATGGTTTTCGCATAACAAATTGACGATTGTAATATCTCGAGCACGACGAAAATGCAGATATAATGGTGTAATCGATTTTTCATACTGCGGCGTGAAAATTCTTGCGGCACATCGTCAAAGCGAGCCTTGATATCGCGGTCACATTTGCGTTGATCAGTCAACTCAAAACGCCGTGAAACAACGTATTACGAAGGGGAATTTAGCGCATCGAATGAACGATTATTTGCGATTACGCTATCTTCTTATGTCACTTGTCAAATGAATTTGCGTGTGGATCTACAGGATCTATTACTCCACTCGATGCAGTAAATAGTAATGTCAGAATGATTGTGTCTCCAGTGTGTTACTTCCTTCATTTGTTTTACGCTCGCGTCGCTCGCTATATAATAGATGGCTCTATACACACGGACGGGAACCGCAGGTGGGCGCTGATTGGCTTGGCTCGAAAAGGTGCTTGCGATTCTCGAAATTTTGAATTTCGATATTGCGATTCTCGAAGGTGCCAAGGTCAGTTACGGGCAAGTCGGGACGCGGGGAGGTACGCGCTGCGTATCTGTCTCACGTCTTTCGCGAATATCGTGATCGTTACTGACCAAACGGGGTCTCGCGGGCGCGACGCGCGATCGCGAGTACTTGTAGAAGTGTTGTGTGCTCGAGTGCCACTGCCGATGACGCGATATATGCCGCTAACGGGATCTCAGGGAGTCGCAGTCCCCGGTAGGCTAGGAGTCTGGATTTAACTCCGCACACTTCGTCCAGAGCATCGAAACTGTGACGCATGTTCAGCTGTAACCAGGTAAATGCATGTAAACTGCAAAATGGACTGCGTCGTCAACAAATTATGCGCGTTTGACGAAATGTTGCGAGCGCGCCAGAGATTCGTCAGGCGAGTTTCTCGTACGATCGTAGATCGTACGATGGCACGGATGGCACGGTGGCGTCGGCATACGCCAACGCCCTCACCCCTAATATCGCGAAAAGTAAAAAGCTGCGAGATGAGTCAAAACGTAGATGGTAACAGGAGATGGTAACGCGGAAAAAATATGTATCAATAGAGATAATACATTTGAGATACGTCGATAAATGCTAATCGTAAACGTTTATATATACATATATATAATAAATATTAATCGTAATATATTAATTAAAGAGTTCGACAGTTTTGCAGATATTAATATTGCACATATTAAAGACTAAATCGTAAATGTTTATAATAATAAATATTAATCGTAATATTTAATTAAAGAATTCGATAGTTTTGCAAATATTAATATTGCTCACATCAAAGACTAAATCGTAAATGTTTAGAATAATAAATATTAATCTCGTAATATTAATTAAAGAATTCGACAGTTTTGCAGATATTAATATTGCACATATCAAAGATTAAATTGTAAATGTTTATAATAATAAATATTAATCGTAATATTTAATTAAAGAATTTGATAATGAGTTTTGCAAATATTAATATTGCACATATCAAAGATTAAATTATTCATTTAACCCATTGTATGCATTTCGCGTTCTTCATTGCATTTTACGCGTTTTGCGAGTATCGCAAGAAATAAATGTAAATAATAATAAATTTATTTAATATATATTTCGATACGTGGCGAGTGAAGTAGCAGGCGTTCAATATTTTCTTTCACAAAAAGATTTTTATTAAAAAACTGGTATTTGGTAAATAAAGTTTGTTTCTTCCTCTGCGTACAGCGCGTAGTAGTTAATCGTATAGTTAATAATAGTAAATACAATTTTTAATGCAAGATAATCGGATATATCTAAATTTGTCAAGCGTTGGCCCGGGCGCGGTCACATCAATACCTTCGAGGGGGATGCGCGACGGGAGGGAAGATGGAAACGACTAAAGATATACAGTGACAGACATAAGGGATCGTCGCCCTTGTCCATAGCGCGGTCCTATATTCTTACAATGACGATATTACAAATTAAAGTTACATATCTACGACTATCTGTAGCAATGGCTGTGCCTAAGCAACCATCGGCTTTTTTTGTTACTGACTCCGAGGTGCATTTCGGTTCTCGTCGTGTTTATCATCATCCGCGCACGAACGATTTTTTTATATCATCATTTATATATCCCCGTACATACGTTCGTGCGACATATATATACACTCAAAGGTGTAATTTACAGAAGAAAATAGAAGTCGTCGCGCTATTGGCGCACGCAACAAAAATTAATCCTTAATCTTAAGAAAAAGAAACGACGCTTTACTAATTCGTTAGTGCTCTCGCTAAAACACCCAATTATCTGCTACGCTATATCGTACCGTACGGCGAAGAATCATTGAAATTTCCGTGAATGGCGCTCGATAACGTTACACGCAAAATTACAAATATACAAGCGATTACGCGCGTAATACGTATTACGTAGAAGCGAATAACAAAAGATTAAAGATGACGCGTATTTTGTGTGTGTGAGAGACGAGGATTTCAATTCCGAGATACTGATGTTGCGGGCTTATGTTTCATTCACACTGTATGCCGTTTTTTTTTTTTTTATTTCCTCGTATAGGTTTGTCTTTCATTATGGCAGTGGCGTTGGCTTTAAAACTCAAAAAGAAAAAATATACACTTGTGCATCATCCAAAAGAATCTCTAAGCAAACTGTTTGCCCTCGTAATATGGTATTTAATATTTAAGTGTATTCCTCATATAAGTGTATGAATTGTTGTTCACACATTCTCAAAGTGGTGTAAATCCGCACGCGTTTTGAAAACTCTGTTTAAAATCGATCTATATCATTCTTTACATTAAATAATATTAATTATAGATATATTAATCGATCTGTATTTCAAAACTGGCTTAATTGTACACAACACTTTTATCGTGAACGATATATCGCGTCGCAGCATTACGCACGATTATTAGAAGACGTTTAGGCTAATCTTTGATTCGGTATCCCTTCTCGCCCTTTTACGAGGACGAATTATTTATTATAACGCGTAACATTGCATCAGAAGTGGATAAATCCCACCTAATGACTATGATCATTAACAAAGAACCCAAGCGTACACCAGCTCCATATAGAGATCGATGTTAACGATAAAATATTCTTCGGCATTAAACTTGTGGGGGGAAACAACGAGTATTCCGTTTCTTTTTTTTTTTTTACATTCGCGTTTTTTTTTCTTGAGAAGCTTTGCATATAAACGTACGCGCGGCATTGTCGAGTAATAATATGTGTGCATTAATTTTATTTAACATACTATAAACATACTTCCGTTCGTCGTACATTAAACGCATCCGCACTTTATAGTTTAACATCACATGTAACACTCACGGCGTATATCATTCTCGTACGCAATTGTTTCAGCCGAAGATCAATTGAAACGCTATTTACAAGCATTTACAGGCTGAACCGGTGCACGAAATATCGCTGAAAAGCGGAAACAAAAAAAAAAGAGGAAGCTTCCCAATTTATAATCTTTGCACATCTGTATCACACCTGATCGCAAATTTTCCAGACACCTTTGCTTCTATTACATTTGCAAGTTAGCAGTTTGAGCATTAGTGTGTGACCATGGTGACCATTTTTAGTAATTTCAGTAAAGTAGTAATAATATTGTTTAAATGGACAAAAGATTCTGTGTATAATTGTTAAAAATAAACCTTTATGATATGTGCTATCATAATACTGCGTGAACACAATGAACAAATAAAGCATACGTACATTTATTTGTAAATAAAGTTGTACGTTCTGTGAATAATAATTCCACGAGGCATAAAAACATGTAATCCACAATAATATATACCAGCGTGTAACTCGATCTAATAAAAACAATAACGAGGCTCGTAGAATAGGAACGATTGGACACTATGCGTTATTAAAATGCGCGTAATTCCAATAAAAAAATAAAATAATTTTTGAAAATTTTCTTTGAAAAATGTAAGCATATAAAAATAGAACATATAAAAAAGTGCAATTATTCTGGCTAATGCAATATAATCCTAATTTGCTGTCAGTTTTAAATTATCTCTTTTTTTTTTCAATAAAACTAATATGATCTTTGTTGAAAGCTCATTACACAAAAAAGCAAGATCATATAAAATCGCTGAAAAAGGTCAGACTATAAAATAGAACGTAAATACATGAGTTGAAATAAAAAACTTTGATTGTTACATATTTTATACAATATAATATAATGTCGTAATGTTATTTGTTTTACGGTATTATCTTACTGTCACGAAACCTGAGCAATCTAATATTGAGCACAGTTATGTAGTCGAGTAACTTATTTCGCAAAGTGAAAAGCAAATTGACTGAATAGTGAGATAGAACATAAATATATAGTTTGACATTATAAATATATTAGCATATATATTGATATACATAACGCTACGCAATATACACAATGTTGCACCAGAGATCTTGGTCTATTACTTGCGTGTAAATACAATAATGATAGGAACTGTGAACAGAATTGCGAACAGTATTTAGCATTGAAGAAAAATCTGAATAAGAATAGCATGTAGGATGTTAATTAAAGTTGTTATATACCATACTCATAAGACCTCATAATGAGGGCTTTATTTTACTTCGTTACTGTGCAAGATTCTTTTACTTAGATATATACCGTAAAAATTCATCCGTAACAAAAGAATTGTATACAATAGAAATATCGGGTTGCAAAAAACGTGGCCCAAAATATTCCCTAATAAAATCAATGCGTTACTCAAATATTTTCGTGAGGTATTAATACAATGAGTTGAAAATACGAAGGACATAATATATCATATGTATTGAATTGAGTCGCCGTATAATGCTCATATGTATTTGCTAAAGTGCAACAGGTGCATTAAATATCAACTAATCAATAGCGTCACTCAAAATTGCGTTTTGCGCTAAACTCATTTGCTTTCATTTGTTAAACAGAATAAATACAAATAAATTACGGATCGAGATGGGGGTAATCCTATGTCAGTGTTTCTCGACGTCGAGAACGATTAGAGTTGTGTGTTCAGTCTAAGATGAGCGGAGGACTTAATTACTCACGCAGTCGGAGGTCGGAGCCATGTGCTTCGCTTATTAATTTTTTTTACGATAAAGTAAATGTTGTTTCTCTCTCCTGTCCGATATTCTTCGATTTTTTTTCCAACATTGATACAGATGTACATTGATCTATCGGCATGTAGTAGCCAACACCCACGTAAATCTCTGCTTTGTGATTTACGTACGTTCAAACAGATCACATACTTATCAAAAATGCGATCAATATGCGTCAACAGGCACACTTCTGCATTTTATAGTTACATATTTCCAGACATGATTACGTACTACCTTAAAATTTTCAAGTATTACTCTAATATATATTATATATTACAGAGCTATTAAACTATAGGCCTAAATTTTAGCAATCGCGTGCCGTTCTTATAATACGGAGACTCGCGGCAATATAGGAAACATTTCGTGTTAATCTTACGATACTTATTTCATATATAGTACATGTACATGATCTAAGCGTTAATTGTGTTTGTGTTATTATACTAGATATTTCACAATACGAGCGAGGCTTATTATTACGATACATCGGCCGATAATTTATCCGTCATTAGTCGTGTCCTTTCTTTGCTTAATTCCGGGAATTCCGCTTAGATTTAGATTTTACCATCTTTCGTTCCGAAACGCGCGTTTCGCATATTAAAGCATTTTGCTTTCAAAGAAGTTTAAGCTGAACGTAAGAAACGGATTATATATATGGATCTATGTATGTGTGTGTGTGTGTGTGTG